ACCCATATAGTTGGAGTGTTTGGACTCCTCTCCACACTGCACTCTGTTCCCATAGACCGACTCATTTAAAATCTTGAAAGTGGGTTGATGTGCATGAAGGCCCTGAATGCCGGGTGCCTCAATCCGTTTGGGCTGCTCTGGCCAAATACCTTAGACTGGGAATTATAAATAACTAGAAACCCACTGCTCACAGTTCTGGAGGCTGGAAAGTCCAAGATCAGGATGCAAACGGATTCGGTGTCTCCTGAGGGCTCTGTCCTCCAAAGATGCTGTATCCTCCTGTGGCGGGAGGGACCACAAGCTCCCTGGAGCCTCCTGTGTAAGGGCACCAATCCCGGGGGCTGACCAAGTTAACTCGACCCTTCTGGGTCTCTATGTTCTGTACCTTCAAAGTCCTCGTAAAGCCAAAACGTTTATCTGACAAAATGTGAGAACGGAGGGTCCCAGTTCAGACGCAGCCTTCTCTCATCTGAGAACAGAGGACACTCCTGTCCTCAGAGCTTCGGTGGGTATTGCAAGACACTTCACATGCTCCTAATAGCCAACTCTGCACGGCATCTCAGTCCCGCCGGCCACCTTCTGCTCTGTGTTCTCTTTGAAAGCTGAGACTGTACCTAATTCAGCATCTGACCCTCTACTGCAGCTAGAAAAGTTCTCGTGCATTTATCCTCACCACTCACGGGAACACAAAGATTGTGTGAGATTAGTTTCATGTGGACATTAAGAGTTTTCTAAAATAATATCCACCAGCCTTCATAAATTTATATTTAAAAAGAATAATAACTATCATTTAATGAATTTAGCACATGCTAAGAGATTTCATGTGTTTAATCCTTTTAACAGAGAAAAGTATCATGTGCAAAAGGTTAAAAACTTTTCTATTATGAAATGGGAACAGAGAGGGGAAAAAAACAAGAAAATTACAAGATGTCACACAAAATAGCATTATATCCTTTTCCAAAATGAAATAACCTCTCTTGAAAATACAAGAAAAATTGGTTAGCTAAGTTTTAAAAACATTGTCTTTATGATTATTTTAAAGCTAGAGTTTTAATTTTTAAGTCATAAGTTTTTGAAAAGCATTTAAACTCCAAAATTATATTTTGCATTTGCAACCTAAACATCTGAAACAATTTAAAATAAATTTGGGAACTAAATTAAAAAAAAATTTTTTTTAGCATGAGCTATAATATGCCAAGTTTTAATCCAGACCAAGTTTTTATGGTTCTGTCATAAACCCCAGAAAGAAATAAAGAATAGAACAAATAAAAGAAAAAGAAAATAAGGATTTATAATGGAAATGCTGACAGACCATTTTCCAAACAGCAAAAATAAATTATAATTGGCTTTGAAAAGACCACCTTTAATAAGAGTCATGCAAAAATTCAAAATTTAAATGAACAAAGAAATACTTTTCTAGTAATTCACAATACTTCAGAGACAAGAAGTAGCAAGTGTCCAAAAGGTAAGAAGAAGTGTATATAAAATGTAAAATTCACAACATGAAAGAAACTTTATATGTGAGGTTCATTTATCTTCATGACTGAAAATTTTAACTCAGTAGTGACAATATCTGGTAAATTTAATCAATTCTCATGGAACTGTATTATCCAAAGACTCACAGAGACTCTGGGAAAGCTGACCAAACATACAACCACACAACATTTCCAGAGACACTAGGACGTTAGCAAACCTTATCTTTAGATAAACGTTTATGTGTCACATTTTGAGAATAATATATCAGAAACTTCCAAATGCTACTCGTCAAACTTTAACCCCAAAATCTACATGCTGACTGGTCTTTCCAAGGAACCGTTTGCTGTCAAGATTCACACCTTATTTCTTATACAAATAACTGTGTCCTCTGCTCGGTGCTGGTAGCAGTTAGTCATGGCTCCCATCAGCAAAGGTCATCAAGCAGATTCCAGCTCTGGGCCAGACCCAGAGATGACAGAACCACAGTCTGCACTCAGGTGTCTTAAAGGTAGACACCTAGGCCTGGAAGTTTCACTAAATAAATTCAGTAAATCAGACCTTTACTTTAACGTTCTACATCAAAACACTGGCTGTCAACATCTCACTGAGTTGCACTTGAATTCAAAAGAAGTCATGATACCTCAAAAATAAGATGGGTATTAGGCTAACAATCATTTAAAAAGTTAATGATTCCATTATCAAATATATTTAAAAGTCCAGAAATATATAAAATCTAATAATCAAATCTTAAACTCAACCTAATCTTGACAGAGGCTGCTGCGAAGCAGTAGCGCAAGATCATGGCTCTCAGACACAAAGCAGTACGCCTGTCCCTCCAAAGATTACCAGCTCTTCCCATAAGAAATAAAAACCTGGGATATTATACACGGGGCTGATTTAACTAACATGCACTTCGCATTTGAACTTTGTTACTTTAATAGCTTCATAAAGAAGTTACAAAATTCTTCAAAGAGATTCCTTCGTCAGGGGACCTACTGCACAGTGTTTGAAAACATGTTTGTTCTGTTTTTATGATACTAGATTCTGCACAAATAAAAGATGAAGAAAAATGGTAATCTTTTCTTCAACAACTCTCTCCAAGCCGATATTTTTCCATAGTAAAAGCCTCCTCTTTATCATTATTTGGAATGTCCTATTAATGAGTGGCCAACAGTACGAGTTTGGAAAGAGTGTCAAGATAAAATGCGTCCCCTGGCCTTTCTCTGTGTGGGGCATGGAGGCCACACAGCGTGAGCTAGGTCGCTTCTCCGCCCAGGCAGCTCCCAGGTGTCTGTCTACCCGGCCCCCAACCCAAAGCTCCGCCTGTCCCATTGCCAAGTCCCTGGGCCTGCCTCTGCCGCAGTCCAGACACCTGCAGGACCGTCTTCCTGTGCACGGAGCCCCAGCAGAGCCCTCCGTAGCCCCGCAGCTCCCCTACGCAGGGAGACACTGGAGCAAGCCTGCTTCAGTGTGATTTAACTCAACAGCCCAGATTTGGCGCGCTCTTTGCCATTCATTTGAACTGATGAAAAACGTCACAGATTTTCAGACCAGACCTGCCCTATTAAACAGAAATTTAAAGTAAGCCTTGGAAATGTGTTAAACTACGGATGCAAAGTCTCTTCAGCCAACACAGTAATAAGCCTTTTTTACTTAGCAAAATGATAACCCTTGAACCACAATTTGGATGTCAGAAAGCATTCTAAGGTGAATCCTTAACTTAGAAAGCCTTTTCAAACACCGAAAATCAAAATTGTAGTTTTAGTACTTTAAAAAATCCAGTTTCTGTTCACAAGCGTGACCTTAGATGCTCTTCTGGGTAACAAAGTCTCGTCTGGACTGAGTGGCTCCGAGACAATGGATCCATCAAAACCATTTGCTACGCTAATGGCCGCCTGTAACCCACCACTGCCTACGTTTGTGAGTTCTGCCAAAACGACTGGCCACACCCAACACCCCGCCTGAGAGAAGCCACCGCCCCCACGAGGCTGCTCCCATCCCTGCAGAGTCACGCGGCTGCCATTCAGTCCAGTTATTGCGTGAAATGCCCAAACCCTCTGTCAAGCTTTAATCGAGAAGGTATTGCTAGCACAGTCTTAAAATGGGCCATAAAATTATCAAAGACAGAAGTACGCAAATTAACATTCAATAGGATATTAAAATATCCTCTAAGGTCAAACATCAAGGATTAAATTAATTTAAAGATCAATAAAACTTAACATTGAATTTGGTGCCAAACAATTACAAAACTGCATCAGACATTTCTATCTGGTAAGCACTTTAAGCACATAATTTTATAAAAGATATTCACTGTCCAAAAACTCACTTTATTTTGGCAGATTTGATGGACAGGCCGCGAATGGGCTTCGGCTATCACCGCTGCACTGCAGCCAGCGTTGAGGTCGAACACCTCCACAGTCCTGTTCCGGCCGGCTGTGAGCACGACGTCTGCGGTGGGGCAGTTAGGGAACGCTCTTGGTCACCTTGCCCACCAGGAGGGACAGGTCTCTCTTTTATTAGTAAATTTGGGAACGTTAGAAGACTCACAGATAGATGGTGGCTAGTTAGGAGTTTCTGAAGCTCTGCAGGAGCAGCCTACAAGGTTGCACAGGGTTAGGTCACTATGATTAACTCCACAAACTTGAAAGATGAGGGGCAATTTATACATGCAGGACTCATGTGACCACCCAAACTACCCAGATATTTAGCCCTGAACACTATTCTAGAAAGTACACATGGGAGGGTGCAAGAGTGCTATATTTAGTAGTAAATCCAATGCTAACATCAAGATACGCAGAAACCATAACCTAAGCTAGAATAATTGTAATGACACATTTCTGCCAGGTAGGTTTTTTTTTTTTTTTTTAGCAAAAAATTCTAGCATAAAAATATTAATACCACATTTCTAACCAAAATATCCTAGAACACAAAACTTTATTTCAGTCTTTCTGAAATTTCAACTATAAAATCCTTTCATAGAGTTCAACCTGGACCTGTTGTCAAATAAGTTAAAATTTTATAAAATGAATTTCTAAAGATCAGGAGCTTTTCTCCTAAATAAACTAAAATCAATTTTTTAAATTAAAAGTGATGATATTAGCCATAAAAACTCAAAAAGTTTTGGATTCAATTTCATATTCTATGGAACAGCAACCACTGTGAGGCTTGCCAGGCTTTTGTATAAGATAGAGTAACTGTGCAGTTTAATCACAGCATTAACTGGTAAGGATAACAGTTTACTAAGAAAATGTGCTGCATTACTATGTATTATTCAATAAAGTATATAACAGAAATGTCAGGTCAGCTCACCTCCTATGTGCCAGGAGCTCTATTGCCCCAAGTTTTTTTTTTTTTCCTTTAAGGCATTTCTCCCTGAGATGAAATTATCTCAATCGTCCTAATTATGTATAATTATTGCAAAGACCGTTGCCCTGTGAGAAGGAGGCTCCCCATGCTGCTGTACCCGCACATGAGGTGCTCAGCAAATGCCTCTGCCAGAAGAGTGACGCCCGGCAGGTACAACACGGGAGGGACACAAGAGAAGGATACGGGAGTAAAAGTCGTTCACCGCCGACAAACTGGTCACGTCCACCCCGCCAGTCATGGACAGCCTGAAAACTGGCTTGGACCAACTCTTCTGCTTATATCTGGAAGAAAAATAAAGATGATCAATCTTTTTTCTTCCCTTCAACTATAATTAAACATTCTACCTTTCAAAAAATTGAAAATGAAAATAAAGTTGTCATATCACTTAAAAAGTCATAGTTTATAACACTGAGGAAATAAGTAAATTGACTACCTTACCTTTACTCCAGGAAAAACTTTAGGTTTCCATTAAGAAACTCTAGCTTTTCCTTTAGGAAAACTTGATGAAAATAATATCATTTTATATCGCCAAAGATAATTCATTACTATCTATGAGAAAGCAAATTTGTCTCCTAATTCTGAAATAATTATGTATACTTAAGGAGATACACAACCAGTTGTAAATTATCTGTATTTCCCTTTAAACATAAGTTCTTAAGTTTTCTAAAGCGCAACACAAGCAGTTGGTACGGGCTTAATAAGTGTTGGTCTTAACCCCTAGCGGTAACTTCATGGAGGAATGTAACCTGCTGGCAAGTCCAGAAAGTGCTCTTGCCTGGAGAGAACTCGCCAAGAGCAGACAGAGCCCCGGGAGGTCCTAGAGGGGCTGGACCAGTCCGGGCAGATGCTGGGGCCACTCTGGGGACAGTTGGATGGACAGCGACAGGGTAGCCCAGCGTCTGCGGGGTCTTGGGACGGCTGACCTGACAGTGACAGCGGAACGGGCCGTGGGCCCTGCACTTCGCCCAGGGCGGCTGTAGGGTGGCAGTGGGACAGGCCTCAGGGCTGCAGGGGCTAGCCCCAGGGTGGCCACACACAGACGCCAATCACAGGGAGGTCTGAGGATAAACGTCCGGTCACAGGAAGATGATGACGTAAGCCACTGCACACTCATAACACAAAACTGCTTAAGATAATGCAGAAGAAAGTCTAAGAAAGCAGAGAAAAGCTATTCAATTTGGGGAAAATGTACAGAAACTCTATGCACAGTGCAGATGAGGGAAGGGAGAGAACTGCTACAAAGGAGCAGCAGGGCACGTGGTGCGAGATCCGCGCTGGACACACAGGAGCCCCGTGGGGAAGCCAGTGTGGAGGCATTCAGGCAGCACAGAGGAACAATCTTTCAAAATCAAAATATAACACTTTTAGGATCATTGCTTTTCCAATTTTCTTTGCTACCAACTGGGTTGTAGTTTTTGATTATTTACTTAAGCCTATGTCTGCCTGACGAGGCAAGAGATGTGAGCTAGCAAGTGTCAGCTCACTCGATTAGTGAGGTTTTGGCGGGGCCGTCACCTGCAGTGGGGACGTGGTAAATAACACAGGTGCTGTTCAAGAGGCAGATGTCCACAGTCCTCGTGTGATCAGCTGTGTCATCAGTCAGGGCTGCAGTCACAGCGGCCACCACCTTCCTACGCAGGAGGAGCTGGGACCCACACAACCCTGCCCGGGGCCCGGCCATGGCTGAGGGAAGGCGGAGACCCCTCGAGTCAGGACCATCAAATGCGTCCTTGGACACAGCAGGGAACTCGCAGCCTCAAGTCCCAACTCAGGTCCCTCTGCCTCTGCCTGCTGTTGTCCATCATAAACATGGCCAAACAACAGCTGGGTTCTCATTTAACATTTAACTACTTCTGGTGATTTTTGGTGTCCAGGAATTTTCCTCCGCCTCCTTCTTTGATCAGTCTGTGGTCAACTCACCCAGACTTCCTTATAGGGTTTAAGTATTCCCACGTGTGTTTAGAAAAACCTGCTACCCTCAGCTGAACATCGTAAATTGAGCAAATGCGGTGGCTTCACTCTCTCTCCAGATCCCACTGAAGTGGCTGCAAGGTGATTTTTAAGGCAACAACCCCCAAGAGTAAAAAGAACACAGGAGGCAGCCAGAGGGGAGCGGCACAGTTCCAAATCTCAGAGACAATTCCGAGTCTTCTGCGCCAACTGTGAAACTCTCCCTCCCACAAAACAAAAATAAAGTTTGGGGCTTCAAAGCAGCACGTATCTCCGAAAGAGGGCTGGGGAGGGACTGCAGGCTGGAGGCTGCTCTCCTCGATGCAGAGTCCGTGGGTCCTGGACCCCTGCCGTCCGCCCACTCCAGCTCCAGGACTGAGGTTCCCTCCCGGGACCCAGCAACCCCGGGAACAGACGAGGCAGAGGCGGCCCCAGCTAAGACAGAGGATTCCATGCAAGTCTGTCTGTGGCACGGGGGCCCCTCACCCCTTCACGGATGAGTATCACGGATCTAAGCCAGCCATGGTAACCCCACTTACCCGGCCAACTGGTCCCAGGACAGGCTGTAACCCAGCTGGGGTGAAGGAGCCACGAAGCCGCCTGCAGTGTGGAAAGCCTTCCTCGCTGAATAACAGGAGGAAAAAGGCTTTGATGTAGTCTCACTGGTTTATTTTTGCTTTTGTTGCCTGTGCTTTTGTGCTTATAGCCATGAAATCATTGCCAAGACCAATGGAAGCTTTTCCTCTAGGTGTTCTTCTAGTACCGTGTTTCCCTGAAAATAAGACCTACCCATAAAATAAGCCCTAGCAGGATGTCTAAGCATTTGCGCAATATAAGCCCTACCCCGAAAATAAGACCTATTGATGCTCGTGGCTACACAGTGTATCTGCACAACCCGTGCCTTTCGTCGTGGAACGGTAAAGACGAGTAGCCCTTCTCATCTGCCCCATCGTGACAGCTATATCCCAGAGGTGACCGGAAAGGTGTGGGCAGCCCCGCCAACAAGGTCGGCTCCCCCTTTCAGGTCCCCGCCATCCTGTGCATGCTGCAAGCTGAGGCTTTGAGGGGAAAATAACACATCCCCTGAAAATAAGCCCTAGGGTGCTCTTTGAGGAAAATAAATATAAGACCCTGTCTTATTTTTGGGGAAACATGGTAATTTAATAGTTTCAGGTCTTTCATTAAGTCTTTAGTCCATTGTCAGTAATTTTTGTATATCATGTAAGATAAGGGCTGAATTTCGTTCTTTTACATGTAGATATCCAGTTTACCCAGCACCACTTGTCAGAGAGACTGTCCTTTCTCCACTGTGTGTTCTCGGCACCCTTGTCCATACGGTGTGGACTTGTTCTGGGTTCTCCATTCTGTCCCATTGGTCGCTTTTATTCCAGTACCACACCATTTTGATTACTGCAGCTTTGTAATATCATCTGAAGTCAGGAAGTATTATATCTCCAGCTTTTTTTTTTTTTTCCTTTCTCAAGATTTCTCTGGCTATTTGGGGTCCTTTGTGGTTCCATATGAATTTTAGGATTGCTTCTTCTGTTTATGTAAAATATGTCATTGGCATTTTGATAGGGATTGCATTGACTCCATAGATCGCTTTGGATAGTATAGACATTCTAATAAATTGTCTTCCAATCCATGAACACAGAATTTCTTTCAAGTTGTTTGTGTCTTCTTTAATTTCTCTCATTAATATTTTGTAGTTTTTAACTTCCTCAGTCAAGCTTATTCCTAAGTCTTTTTTCTGGTGCTATTGTAAAGGGATTGTTTTCCTAAATTTTTTTAGATAGTTTGTTGTTGCTGATATAAGAAATGCAACTGATTTTATATGTTATTTTGTATCCTGTAACTTTATGGACTTACTAGTTCTAACAGTTCTACGTCACACTAGAAGCTGCTACACAGCAAAGGAAATAATCAACAGAGTAAGGACATAAAACCTAAGGAACGGGAGAAAATATTTGCAAACTACATATCTGATAAAGGATTAATCTCCAAAATAAATAAGGAATTTATAATGCTCAACAGCAAAAGAACTAATAACCTGATTAAGGATTGGAATAGATGTTCCTCTAAAGAGGCACACAAATGCCCAACAAGAACATGAAAACACTGGGGAAACGTAAATCAGAACCACAGTGAGCGACCACCTCGTGCCCCTCAGGCCAGCTGCTGTCCAGCAGCAGCAAGGACGTGGCACAGCCGGACACCCGCACGCGGCTGGTGGGAACGCACGTGGTGGGGCCCCAAGGAGAGACATGGGAATGACTCTGTTTGGTCCAAAATCTCACTCTGGGTATATTCCCAAAAGCATGGAAATCGGGGTCTCAGACACCTGCACACTCACACGCACCTCAGCACCACACACAATAGCCAAGATGTGGAATCTCCAAACGTCTGCCCAGGGATGAATGGATAGAGAAAGCATGGCCTTTAGAAAGGAGGAAATCCTGCCATTTGTAACAATGTGGATGAAACTGAAAACATCCTGCTACAGTGAAATGAGCCAGGCACAGAGGGGCAAACACTGCGTGATTCCCATCACGAGGCACGGGAAGCAGTCTGATGGAAGTGAGCAGGACAGGGTGGGGGGCATGAAGTTTCAGCTGCACGAACAGAGTCTAGAGCTCTGCTGTGCGACACCTGCTCTGCTGTGCCGTACATTTGAGAATGGCTGAGAGGGTAGATCCTATGTTAAATGCTCTTACCACAATAAAAACAATTCTGAAAAAGAGAAATGTCAAGACCAGTGCCCCAACCTCCTGCATCTGGAGCAACAGCATACTGACACCTGGACCATTAGGGCAAAGGCCAACACTCCAGGATGGAGGGAAAGGACAGGAAGAGCCTGGCCCCCTGAAGACACCAAGTGCAGGACACACACCAGGGCCCCACATTTGGGGTGAGGGAGCAGCTGGGTGGGGTACACCCTAGAGCCCCACCTGACACCCCCAATTAAGGCCCAGGACTCATGCTGCAGATAAACCCGTTTGCACCACAGCATGGTGGCTGGGGCCAGCCTCTCGAGGCGGGCTCTGGCTGCTGTGCCATCTGCTCCCCAAACCAGGTCTGATACCGTCAGCTGCTGTGCACCCACTGAGGCTCAGAAGTGAGAGAAATGGGAGAAAAGCACTAAGTGGTGTGTTGACAACTCCCTGGCATTTTTAGTAAAACTACAAGAGAAGGATAAATGCAGATTTGAGGGAGCCAGTCTGGAACCAGGAGGAGGAGCAAGCGGCTTTGCTGAGAGACGCTCGCCGCCTGTGGTCTGCATGTTGGTGAACAGTCCCTTTATTTGGAGCCTTGCTGGTTTGAGCAAGTCAGTCCCTACATCCAGGTGACTCTGGTACAAGTGGCACCAAAAAAAATGCAGCCGAGCAAGGAGCAGGACGGGGGCTCGGTCCTTCCCCAGCAGCTCCCACCATTCTCAGGGCATCTGCTACAAGAAAGAAGACGGACACATCCTGGAGAAGGCAGGAGGGAGAAAACCCTCCTGGGACCATGCCCCACCCACTGGAGAGGGACAGAGCCTCCTCCCTCCCTGGGCTGGAGCGGCCGCAATAGGAGGCCTGTGGAACCTGGCAAGGGGAGTCTGAAAATGTCCCTCGTGGCCCTGAGGGTGGACACATGCGGGCAGCACACGCTGTTCATAGCAACCACGGGTCAGAGACACCTGCTGCCCCCTCTGCCAGGGGGATGCAAAGGTCTGCAAGTCTGAGCGCAGAATATCGCTCAACAGCTAAATGAACACACTGGACACACACCTTAGAAACTAACGTTGACTATTACGAAAGGTGCTGTTGCTACACTGAAACCCTCAGAAAATAAAATTACATGACTACATACGGATACAGCAAAAAATACAAAACCATGGATGGGAAGCAAATGCACCGATTGTGTGGGAGGAACAGGGAAGAAAACACGATGGGGAGGGTGGGTGGGCCTCTAGTCCTCTCCATAATATTTTATTGCTTTAGAAAATTTTTTAAAAGACAGCAACATGTTAATGTTTGTCTAAGCTAGGTGTTTATTATTCAGATGTATACCCATATACTTCAACTATTTCCTAATTTTAACTTGTCATTATAAATAGTCTTTGTCCCAGATAATGTCACTCAAATATGCCGCAGAACCAAGGTGATCATTCAGTTTTCTTAAATCCCCAATTCTCTCATCTCATTCTCTCAAAGCCATAACTATGGGACACAAAGGAAGGTTTAAAATAGGGAGAAACTGGGCTACTCGGCTCTCACAGTAGTTTGGTGATCTGAGGCTACTATTAAATGCCAGGTGACTGTTAAACGTGAACATCATCGTTACTGAAACACAGCTTCCTCCAGCCCAGAAAGACAGTGCAGAGAGGAGGTGGCACCTACCTTTTTATCTCGTCTCTGCAAGTGTCAATGTGATACTTGAGCAGGTGACATTCAGAGCCAGAGGACAACAGTATAAAACCATCCATATAATAAAACTGTGCAGACTGTATAGGCTTAGAAAACATGTCTTTGCCCTGTAATGAAATCAGTAATTATTGACAATAACTGTTAACAAAAACACTATCGCTCGAGACAGAAATTCTTTCATAACACCTAATATCTATTTATCCTAAAAGCGTAAATGTACTTGGTTAGAACCAATTTACTATCTTTGTTTCGGCTACTACTTCTGAAAGGTATAATTAAAAATTTTACTGCAATGAGTGTTAGAATTCTGACCATTTAAAAACTTTAAAGTAAAAGGCAATTGAAGTTTAGCAGTAAACATCCAAAAGTAGCAAGGACTTTATTAAAGTTGAAATTTCAAACTTGCTTTAAACTACAGGTCTAAGGTGTCCACACTCAAATTTGGATCCCACAGCAGCATCACAGCAGCGCTAACAACGCTCCGCAAATTGCTCCGCAAAGCTGCGCCAAACACACCGTCCTCAGAGCCCCGGTCTCTGTTGACCCCCCTTCCTTTTCTGTCTTGCTTACTCGAGCCCCTTTATGACAGAGCCACAGAAAACAAATGCTAGAGACGGCTTTGAAAGTCTCCACCGCTCAGGTCACGTTCTCTGCAGTTCACACGCTCACACTTGCGTGAGTCGGGACACAGTTTCTTCTCACGCCCTCCTCTCCCGCCCCAGCTGTGAGACTGTCGTCACTCCCTGTCTCTCCCATTCTCTTTCCAGTGCTCTCCCATATGTTCATTAAAATGGGTCATTTTCCTCCCCAAAAATCTACTTCCTCCACATAATATCCCCTTGGAGATGATTACCTGAACCATCAAAGCACACTGAATTAATATTTAAAATCATGCAGATATTTTAACATTAGTCATTTTGCAGATCATAACAAATGTGAGGGCATATTTAACTGTGTGTGCATGCATACAGCAAGTACATGTGTGTACATGTGTGGTGTGCATGTTACATGTTCATGAATATATACATGTACACACAAATGTAAGTAACTATTAATAATTAATCGATAATTTTCATTGCATCAAAGCAAACTCTTGGTTCACATCCATGTCCTAGTCTGGGTCAGGCAGAAGGACCAGACAGGGGTCCTCAAACTTTTTAAGCAGGGGGCCAGTTCACTGTCCCTCAGACAGTTGGAGGCCGTTGGAGAGTGCGTCACACATTCCCCACATGCGCACTGTGGGCCCCAGATGAGTCGGCTGCTAAGCAGGACAGGCAGTGAAGGCAAAAAACACTCGGCGGGACGGATAAATATCTAGGCGGCCGCATGTGGCACGCGGGCCGTAGTTTGAGGGCCCCTGGACCAGACCGTGGGAGGGTCCTGGCGTGGGCAGCAGGACCACCCGGAGGGGCGGGGTCTCAGGTGCTCACTCTGAGCGACACCCGCGATGGGCTGACCGCCCCTTACCAGAAACAGCGCGAGCTCCTTCCTGCGCACCGACCACACCCGCAGCGTCCCGTCCTGGGCAGCAGACAGCAGCCACCTCCGGTCGTGACTCCAGCAGATGGAGCTCACAGCCCCATCGTGACCTGGCGGGACGGTTGAGGAAGGAACAGCCAGAAAGGTCGTCACGTTACTTCACCTGTGATGGTTCCTGACTAGCACTTCCACACACCTGAAACTGCACCTTTTCAAGTAACAAATAAAGCACCTGGAGGCATTTCCCAGCCACGGTGATGCCGAGGTGTGGGGTTAGAGGCTTAATACGGTTTCTAAAGGACATTTTTCTAAAACCGTATATTTCTTAAAATATGAAGGTCAATACTATTTGTGTATTGGTGAGTGCAAGTTTTAAGGAAAGAAAATTATAAAATCCAGTACTTTAAAGTAAAGTGTAGAGATCTGTGGATTTCATGATAATTTATGAGTAATTTAAAGAACTATTCTTTAAACATTGGAGGAAAGGTCAAAAACTGTACTGAACATATGCACATGGAAGGCGATCATTTGTTGTGACTGATCTAAAGTCTTCTCTAAACCTCAGACTGCGTGGAGAGCTGGTTCTGGTCTACAGGCATCTGGGGTGGGTGGCGGCGTGTGCAGCTCTGACGCTAAACTGCAGGTGGGAGGACACCCACAGCCAGGTCCACGTCACGGCCCATACAGGCTTTTCTACTCGGTCCCCTCCGCATTCCTGCACCAGCCTAACTCTGGCACCTGGACGGGCCCCACCGCTTCTGGGTGGGCACTCACTGCCTCTCCTGGCCCGGGCCCCTGGACATGAGTTGGTTTAGGGACCTCTTGCCCTCATGACCTCAGAAAGGCCTCCGCGCCAGGGCGGGCAGTCTTACCACAGTCCCCAGCCTGCCACCTCCGACAGCTCTGAGAGGACGCAGAACCAGAAAAGAGCTTCTCCGAGCTCCAGCCTGGAAAGAAAGCCCTGGCGTGCATTGTGGTTCAGGGGAAGAGGCGCCCGCCCAGCCTGGGAGTGGCAGAGGCCTCGAGAACCTGAGCCCCAGCACCTGGACCCAGCTCCACACACACCTGGACAGCAAACGGCCCAGACCAGCTGAACCACCACACTTCGGCTCCTACAGCAGAAAACTGTGATTAAAATTGTAAAGAACAAGTAAACACAACTCAGAAAACTCTTGCCACTGCTGAGGCCTCCCTTTGGACAGAGCAGCCTTGACGCCAGCCTCAGTGTGCGGATTCCACATGATGCTTTAAAGCAGGCGTCCTCAAACTACGGCCCGTGGGCCACATGCAGGTGTTTTTACCCATTTGTTTTTTTACTTCAAAATAACATATGTGCAGTATGCATAGGAATTTGTTCATAGTTTTTTTAAAACTATAGTCCGGCCCCCCAACGGTCTGAGGAACAGTGAACTGGCCCCTTGTTTAAAAAGTTTGAGGACCCCTGATTTAAAGATTAGACAACGAATCATAACCTCACTCTATCATATGTGTCAGGACACCCAACACAGCATTAAAAAAGTGGAAAAACCAGGAAAGATTTATAAATAAGCATATAACTCAGTTCTGTGACATGACCCAAGAAAACTTGGAGCTAAAAATTTACTGAGCAGAAAAATATGCAAAGAGCTTTGCTGCCCTCTTGTGTAGAATCCCGACAGAAACCCTGAGGCCGGTTAAGTAAGGCTTGGCACACTCTTCATCACGCAGCGAGACCAGTGGGAAAGACTGCTGTGACTGCCCTTAATGAGGTTATCCCTGGCTCGGGAGGCGTCCTTCACACCCCCAAGTGGGGGCTGGCCCAGCAGCCTGAGCCCTCAGCCCCCGTCCCCTGGGAGGGTCACACCTCAACCTCCACCTCAGATGTGGCTTTGTGACCAGCCTCGAGGCCCACTCTCCTCTCCACAACCAAGGAGGGCCAGGCCAGCTTCCACCATGGCCAGACGGCAGAGGCCAGGCAAGGTGGCACACAGGAGCAGGACAGAGGGGGGGCCACTGTCTGTGTCCTTCCTTCTCAAGGAGGCTGTGACCACTCGAGCCTCGAAGGATCTCTCGTGCTCCTGACTCCTACTGCCCGCGTAACACCTGCCACGCCCAGATGACAGCCACCCACGTGACCATAGCAGCACTAGGCACATACAGACAGCCTGACGAGCCGGCCTGGTCCTCCCTCGCGTCAGAGACTGACCTTCCTGCTCCCAGGATGAGAACAGGGCGATTCCTCAGGACTTGCTGGAGTCGGGCACCCCCGCCTTTCCAGAGCTCCGGCCTAGACAAGGGGGAAACCACACACCACCTGGGGAGCTCCAGGATACCAACCCTGGCAGAGCCTTCATCCTCCTCTCTCCTCCACCTCATCCCTCTGGGCAAACTTATTCCCAACTTCAGCTATCATCAGAACCGAGCACAGGGCCTCCTTTCCCTAGACGACTGTCCCCTGCAGCGTGTGTGGTGAGGAGAGGAACTTCAGGGACAAAGAGGTGGTGATGCCTTGACCTGGGGGCAAGGGCCCTGCCTGGGGAAAGGGAGCGGACCTGTGCCACCATGCGGCAAAGACACAGACAGTAGAGACGGCAAGGCAGAGCTCAGACAGACGCCCACAAGACGGTCTGCTTCTAACTTCATAATTTTATAAAGATTTATTTTTATACAATTTCACTATCTGTAATGGAATTGTAATTAAAGTTAATCTTCTGAAATGCCTGACCCCAGAATTTCACTGTTATAACCTAGCTCTTGGGCACGTCGCAGACGTGGTTCTCTCATAAGACGAGCTCATACCCCACCCAGAGTTTGCAGAGAATCCACTCTGTGCAGAAGGGATGGGGCTGAAGTTCTAATAATCCTGGTATAGACAGACAACACGTTCTGGTGGAAAAATCCTAAAATCTACAGCACAAACACAGAATTCCTTTATGAAATGTGACTGTCACGTGGTTTTCAGGCCGGGCTGTCCTTACCTGCTGTGACCTCAGAGCCCCTGGATTCTCCAGGGGAGAGTTTTAATTTATACTGACCTTGCTTGTCTTAGACTGTGATGGAAATAACAACACCCATTTTTCTGTCTTCTGGGTAGGTGCTGAGAAACCAACATATTTTCAAAGTTGACTTACCTAACCATTAAACAACTAGACACACAAAGTGAAATGATCTGCTACCCAAAGTGACCTACAGAGTCAATGCAATCCCTATTAAAATATCCATCATCATTTTTCACAGATAGAGAAAAAATAGTTTTATGTTTCATATGGAACCAGAGAAGACCCCATATAACAAAATCAATCCTAGGCAATAAAAACAAAATAGGAGGTATCAATTTACCAGATTTCAAACTGTACTACAAGGCTATAGTCATTAAAACAGCTTGGGACTGGCACAAGAACAGGGACATTGACCAGCGGAACAGAACAGAGAACCCAGATATAAAACCATCCTTATATAGCCAACTAATCTTTGACAAAGCAGACAAAAACATACACTGGGGAAAATAATCCTTATTCAATAAATGGTGCTGGGAAAACTGGATAGCCACATGTAGAAGACTGAAACAGGACCCATGCCTTTCACCTCTCACAAAAATCAACTCACGCTGGGTAACAGACTTGAACATTAGGTGTGAAACTATTAGAATTCTAGAGGAAAACGTTGGAAATGCTCTTCTAGACATTGGCCTAGGCAAAGAATTTATGAAGAAGACCCCAAAGGCAATCACATCAGCAACGAAAATAAATAAATGGGAGCTGATCAAATTAAAAAGCTTCTGCACAGCCAAAGAAACTGTTAAGAGAGCAAACAGACAACCCACAGAATGGAGAAAAATTTTGCAAGCAACACAACCGATAAAGGGCTGATAACTAGAATTTACTTAGAACTCAGAAAAATCAGCAAGGGAAAATCAAACAACCATATCAAAAAGTGGGCAAAGGACATGAACAGAGAGTTTTCAAAAGAAGATAGAATAAAGGCCAACAAACATATGAAAAAATGCTCAACATCTCTAATCATCAGGGAAATGCAAATCAAAACTGCAATGAGATATCACTTATCTCCAGTGAGAATGGCTTTATCAAAGAAGTCTCCCAAAACAGATAGATGTTGGCATGGATGCGGAGATGAGAGAACACTCCTACACTGCTGGTGGAACTGCAAACTGGTTCAGCTTATGGAAATCAATGATGGAGATACCTTAAAGGCGATACAAGTAATTACCATTTGATCCACAATTCCACTACTGAGCATTACCCAAAAGATAAAATGACACTCTATAAATGGGACACCTGCACTCAAATGTTTATAGCAGCACAGTTCACAATCACAAAGGTGTAGAAACAACCCAGGTGCCCATCAATATATGAGTGGATTAATAAAATGTGGTATATGTATATCATGGAGTACTATACAGCTTTAAGAAACAATGGTGATCTAGCACCTCTTGTATTTCCCTAGGTAGAGCTGGAACCCATTCTATTAAGTGAAGCATCTCAAGAATGGAAAAACAAGCACCACATGTACTCACCAACAAATTGGCATTAACTCATCAACACCTAAGTGGACATAAGGAATAACATTTATTGGGTGTGTTGGGCGTGGGAGGGGGAGGAGGGGATGGTAGTATACAAACATATGAGTGAGATGTGCAACATTTGGGGGATGGTCACGCTTGAAGCTCTGACTCGAGGGGGGAGGGCATGGGCAATATAGGTAACCTTAACATTTGTACTCCCATAATATGCTGAAATTTTAAAAAATGGAAAAAAAAAAAGTGAAACGATCTGGCCATAAGATGGGAAAAGACTCTTTTTCATCAAGCAGAAATGGAGCAAATTTATTTTTAAGATGGACTTTAGATACTCGCTGCACTTCCATAATTCAGTTAGAAGCTCTTTCTCCAACAGTGACATATGTGGAGAAATGCCCCCATCAACATGATGACCTTTACATCGATTATCAACAGAGAGAGGTCCACTCGGAGACGCCCAGTACGCAAGAGGCGGCTTTGCCGAAAGCTACGGTTTTGAGCCTGCAGCAGCCATTGCCTGTGCGTAACTATGTGGCCGACGACAGATGGATGAGGGGAGAGGACTCGGGCACGGGCAGCGTCCAGGTGACCACACAGAGGCAGCAGCTCTGCTCGCAGCAGGTGTGGAATCAAGGCCTTTGGGGCCTGTTGAGGGTCCCTGAACTCCTGGGGTCTGGCGCCTGCAGACAGGCGGGGGCAGCACTCTGTCTGCTCTGATGCCCCATACCTGGCTCAGGCCTCGCCAGGTCCCCCACCCACCTCCACGCTTCCTAACAATCACACGGCTTGCGAGGTCTGCACTTCTGGCAAGGCGGTCGCACTACAGGCTGCGTGTCCCCTATCCAAAAGGCTTGGGACCAGAGTATTCCAGGTGTTGGACTTGTTCAGATGTTGGAATATGTGTGTTACACTGGACTGAGCATCCCTAATGCGAAAATCCAAAATCTGAAACACTCCAATGAGCGTTTCCTTTGAGCAGCACGTTGGCTCTCAAAAAATTTTAGATTTTGGAGCATTTTGGATTTTGCATGTTTGGGTTAGGGACACTCAACCTGTATAAGAAGAGACGGACGAGGAAAAGGTTTCTTGTCTCTGTGTGTGTATGGTTTTGTTAAGACAGATGCCACGTGTACATTCTGAAGCAAGCAGTGCCAGGAACTTAATGAAGAGTTGTAAGACTTTATGGTTTTAAAAGTGGGAACCTACACATGTCAGAGCCATGAGTTGAAACAATAGGAACATTAACATTCTTACTCTCATCTCAGGCCCACCGTCTTTAAAAAAGGTTCACCTTGGTTCATTCAAAAAAACATCTATGTACAAATCCTTCTGCATTTAAAAATATATTTCAAGTGTGTATCTTTCAATTAAATGAACCATGTTTCGATCACATGAGACTCAATTCTGCTCACTACCCCCTACAACTCCCTGAAACCTCGGCATCTGCTGCGGGTTTGGCCTCACAGGTGACCTTCACCCTCTTGGTTCCAGGGCTCAGGGAATCTGGTCACTAAATAGCGTCATTTCATTCCCCCACTCAAGACTTGGCGCTATTCTGCTGTTGTCTTGAGTACACTAAAGCGACAACAACCTTAGCAAGTAACAACTAGGACCAAACTGATACCCATCGTTGAAGTCATATTAACTAAAATGAACACATTTTACCTGAAAAAACAGCAGGTCTTCCGGTAAGACTGGCATCAAAGACAAGTGATAGGTGGTTGGCTAGGCCACAGGCCAACCACCGTCCATCTCCTGCTTAAAAAAAATAAGAAATACTTCTTATAAAATCCTAACACAAAGAAATCACACTGGTAAAATGTAGAACTTTCAGTTAAAATGGTCTTAAACATTGATAGTCATTTCCTCAGTAGTAAGCAAATCTAGGACAATAGGTAATGAGGCTCACCAAAAACCTAAACACTGCGCACGCAAAGCTGCCGGAACCAGGACTAAATTAACACCACATCCTCTAAAGCAGCTGCCGGTATTATCACTGCCATCCCTGGTGCCAGGACAGGAAGCCAGAGGCACAATGAGGCTGCGTGAACACATGTGTGACAGGTAAAGCCAGAAACCACAAAGCACCCCCAGCCCAGAGGTCCTCACAGACCCCAATGTCCTGTCTCAAACCCAGGTCACACATCCCAGGACACCCCCACACCCTGCTGTGTCCTGTGTCACATGCGTGGGTTGTTGAAGAAGAATATTTGGGTAAGCACCTAAAAAGCAATTCCCTAAAGTAGTCAAACTTGAGGATACCTTACACCAAACAAACATCCTAATCTATAAAAGCCAGCATATGAAACATCAAAAGGCTATTTACTGGGCCAGGCGTGGTGGTTCACGCCACCTAGCTAATCCTAGCATTCTGGGAGGCCAAGCCAGGAGGATTGCTTGAGATCAGGAGTTCAAGACCAACCTGAGCAAGAGTGAGACCCCAGTGTCTACTAAAAATAGGAAAAAAATTTAGCCAGTCAACTAAAAATAGAAACAAAAAATTAGCTTGGTGTGGTGGTGCATGCCTATAGTCCCAGCTACTTGGGAGGCTGAGGCAGGAGGATTGCACGAACTCAGGAGTTTGAGGTTTCTGTGAGCTAGGCTGACACCATGGCACTCACTCTGGCCTGGGCAACAAAGCGAGACTCTGTCCCAAAAACAAACAAAAAAAAGGCTATTTACTTACAATACCATACGTCTAATTTCCCAAAACCATTTTTAAATCTTTTGGCTAGAATCATATAATCAATAAAGGGAATCAGCAGGTTTGCAGATCGTGGTCATCTGTGTGATCAGGTGGGTGGTTAAGGGTGGGACACGGCACTGCCCGCAGGTGAGGCCCTGGTGCAGGCAGCAGCACACCTGACCTGCACGCACACCTCACTTCTGAGCAAAGAGTCACACGGCGCAGCGACCTAGACAAGCGGAGGGCAGGTCCCAGCTGCCTCCGGACTTCTTTCGAGCAGTGCTGAGGAATTAACGCCGAGTTCCCCAGAGAGGTCTGCTGCCGGCAGGGAGACACGCCTGCCAACAGAGCAGCAGCCTGGGCAGGGGAGACCCCCCTGCAGCCACGGCCCCAGCTGAGGGCAGCGGGGCAGGGAGGCCAAGCACGCAGCACAGGCGCCATCTGTGGCTTCCTGCTCTGCAGCCCACCGTGGCCAGAGGACCACGCTCCAGCAGAACGCGGTGACCAGCTTGCCAGCGTCAGAGTGCGACAGCCCTCCTGCCAGGCCCATGCTAAACTCACGCAGGAGCAGCCATACAACAGCAAACCCAGAGGGACTTAGGATTCCAAGTCCGGATGCTGGGGGCAAGCTCTGGCCTGGTCCCTGCAGAAGCGAGATGCTCCTAATTATTGATACAATCATGTGAAAACCGAGTCTTCATTCTAATCTAGACCCGACAACACCAGGCAGCTTCAAGTAACTGAGATTTTCAAACACACATTTACGCTACAACAGCAGACAGGACAGAGGAGGCTCACGAATGCGCGAGGCAGGCCCCCCCACGGCGCGCACCTGAGTACTGGACGCAGCTCACAGCGGCCGGGCGCGGGGCGGCAGCCACCTGCCTGCCGAGCTTGGTCGGCAGAGGATCCTTCAAAGCATACTCCACCCTGAGGAAGGTCAGAGGTCACAGAAATCGAAGTGAGATTAGAAACAAAACACTAGAAATGAATTGGGTTTCCCCAATTTACATGTGTAATTTTATTGTTAAGTTTGAATAGAAACATAAAACTCGTACATTCAAAGTCATGAAATAACTCTTCATAACAGACTCACATTCCGTACTGACAGAAAGACGTGTATTCTGCACCTAAAACACCAAGGGCGTGAACACCGTGACGGTTTGGGGCGAGGCTCACAGTGAGAGAAAATGTACTTTGCCCTCCCGTGCCACACCGCGGTGGCTGATACATCGCTAATTACTTAAGTCCTCTACAAATGGCTACACCTGCCGCAAAAATACACATTCTTGACTTGCAAAAAAACCCAGGAAGGACCAGGTGTGGTGGCTCACGCCTGTAATCCTAGCACTCTGGGAGGCCAAGGCGGGGCAGATAGCTTAAGGTCAGGAGTTCAAAACCAGCCTGAGCAAGAGCGAGACCCCCGTCTCTACTGAAAAAATGGAAAGAAATTAATTGACCCACTAAAAATATATATATATACAAAAAATTAGCCAGGTATGGTGGCCCATGCCTGTAGTCCTAGCTACTTGGGAGGCTGAGGCAGGAGGATCGCTGAGCCCAGCAGTCTGAGGTTGCTGTGAGCTAGGCTGACGCCACAGCACTCTAGCCCGGGCAACAAAGCGAGACTCTGTCTCAAAAAAAAAAAAAAAAAAAAAAAAAAAAAAGAAACCAGGAAGGCTGAAAAACCACAGTCTCCACACAGTTTGCAGCAGGGACAGGAATGCGCAGGGAGGGCGTCCGCCCATCCACTAGGCCACCTCAGCTTTAGGCAAAAGCCCCGCTGTGAGCTCCAGCCTCAGGACGGAGCGGAGCCCACAGACACTGGCTGTCCTCACAGCATGTCCTGCACCTGGCCGGAGTCCTGCCTGCATGCTGGGTGTGAGCCTGCCCCAAGGCTGTCGGGTCAGAAGTAACAGAGGAAGCGCCAGGCGCACAGGAGATGGGCACAGAAAGAAACTGCTCTGACGTCAACATACGTTGTTCTAAACAGCAGGATTCACGGACTGGCGAATCCTACTCTGCCACCGACATTCAGTGACAGCAGGTAGGACTGGCCTGTCTCTCAGCAGGACCATAACTCCGTCCTGTCCACACCAAGTCCTAGGTGTTCAGACACGTCTCCCTGTGAGCGACACTTGCCGGGCCCCGGACGTCACCTCGAGTCCTCACCACCACTGCCGCCGGCTCTCCAGCAGCACGCCCACCAGAGCCAGAAATGCAGCATAGCCGCCGGCTCGTCTGGACAGGCGCTCCTGGCAGGAACAGCACCAACAAGCAGGCTCGGCGAGACTGTGGTGCTGCGTTGCACACTTGAGCACAGGCACATTGACAAGGTTTGGACACATTTGGCTGTGAGCACAAACTTCCTATCAATAACCTGCTGATGTGGAGAGCAGCAGAAAGAGGCAGGAATTGCAAAAGGTTTACAAAAAAAAAAATCAAGAAACATGGGCAAAACCAATGTTCTGGCAAGCATCTCTGTAAACATCACAATTGTTCAAATGTAGATACAAAACATATGACGTGAGTGTTATTCTAAGCACAGTAACCTGTGACCTCTTCTTAGATGATGCAATCATAAGTCCACAACCCAGCGGTCCCCCAAACCCACTCTTGTCCAGGCAGAGGGCCCAGGGCATCTTGGGGTGCACCCAGTCACACCGAGCTACAGAGCCAGCGCCAAGCCCAGTCCCCCGCACACAGGCAGCACTTCCTGACGAAGTCCCACCCAGCCCTGCGGAATCTGCACCTGCCCTGCGCCTGCCCCAGCCCTGCCATCCAGTTACCACCGAAGACTCTAACCAAGAACAATCATCAGATGCAGTATTTTCTAAATCTAAATTTTAACAAAAATTAAATATTTCAAAATTGTTAAGGTGATCAAAATAGAGCATTTTTAAAAAAATAACACGAAAGAACTAAATGTGGCTAAAAGGGAATACCTAAATAATACAGATATATACGTATTTGTGTACACATACATACACACATATAAGGTCTTATGCCTGTTTGAAAAAAGATCAGTTAAAGTATTTAAAAGGTCTAAGTTATTTCAAATTTACTTCAAATGCCACGTTAGATTTCATACCATTTGAAACTCTTCTTGCATTTTGAAGATCTTTTACCATCATTCTTGATGTTAGTCTTTGGGGAAAACATAGTAGCACTATGGAAAGAAAACTCTTATTACTCTCAAACATTGAGTTCTAAGTTTCTTAACAGATTTATATTTTACAGTGAAAAATATTTTTATATATAATTATTTTATATATAAACGATCATGCCTCATTTCATTCATGCACCCACTGCCCTCTCAACCCATCCACTCACTCATCCATGTCTCCCAACACCCACCCACGTCTCCATCCATCCACCCGCCTCTCCATCCATCCATCTGTCCCTCTACCCACCCATGCTTCCATCCACCCACCCATGCTTCCACACTCGCTTCCTCCCACCCACCCATGTCTCCACCCACCTACCCATGTATCCACCCACCCATCCATCTCTCCATCCATCTATCCATGTATCCATCCACCCATCCCTCTCTCCACCCACCCATCCCTCTCTCCACCCACCCATCCCTATCTCCATCCACCCACCCATCACTCTCTCCATCCACCCATCCCTCTCTCTATCTACCCACCCTCTCTCTACCCACCCATCCCTCTCTCTACCCACCCATCCCTCTCTCCATCCACCCATCCATCTCTCCATCCATCTATCCATGTATTCATCTACCCGTCCCTCTCTCCATCCACCCATCCCTCTCTCCACCCACCCATCCTTCTCTCCATCCACCCATACCTCTCTCCATCCACCCATCCCTCTCTCCACCCACCCATCCCTCTCTCCACCCACCCATCCTTCTCTCCATCCACCCATCCCTCTCTCCATCCACCTATCCGTGTCTCCAAACACGCATCTGAAGCTCCACCCACCCATCCAGTTCTCTAGCTGGCCAGCCACCTCTCCTCCTACCCACCCACAAGTGCCTTATGAAGGCCTGAAGTGCTGTCCCAGACACAGGAAGATATAGAACAGACAATAAGTAAAACAAGTCTGTTTTGCCAAACAGAAAGTAGAGTAGGAAAGGGCTGAGCTTGGGGTGGAGGCCGCAGAGCAGCCTGGGACTGGGGCCTGGAGACACCGGAGCCCTGGGTGGGGGCGGCCGGGGCAGGCAGGGTTCTTGGTGGAGGTGAGCACCAGCCGGGGACAGATCAGTATGCTCTGAGGGTAGGGCCCCAGGCAATAGGGCCCTGCTGGCTGCTATGTTAAGAGCACACAAAGGTCAAGATGTGGGTTGGTAGGAGGGAGGGAGGTCTGCCATTTACATGGAAAAGGCAACTTTGCCTTTGAGAAATCTGGGCCACTCTGACCTTTGCTGCAGTTTCTCACAGCAGCGTGCTATTTCATGTTTCCTCCCTGGAACAGGTTTTGAACACACTGAATTTCCACATTCCACTGGTACAGAAAAGCTGTGTTCCAAGAAACACGAGCTATGGCCAGCCCTCGATGGGCCACATTGCATTAAAGCACCGTCACTCTCCCTGGCCCCAAGCCCACACAGCAACCTTGTCATCACCAGGACTCCGAGGTTGACCTGAGGCCCTACACACAGTAAGCACCAAATAAGTGCACGCTGCTGCAGCTGCTACCACTGCAGTGACCTCGACATTCTGGAGCCTAACCCACCACACTTCAGTCCCGGTTTAAACCTCTGGCTGCCCTCTCCACAACGTGGCCTGGAGGACACACTTCTGTCCACACTTAATCCCACGCCTGTGACGCGGTCCCTTCCCGTCTCCACTGCTGACGCAAGCGCACTCACCGCGGCGCCGACGCGTAGCCAGACGACCTGACGGCACTGTGGAAAACCAGGGGCCGGTCCTGGACGCTGCTCTTCGCAGCTGTACCAAAGCGTTTTAAAGAAGAAACAAATATTTGAAATTACAATTTCATTATGGACATCAAAAGATCCTCATCGCTTAAAACAGAAAAATCCACACAAATAGGATGAGTTTCGGACCCACAAAACTAAGAGGTTTCACACCTGAAGTCAAACCAGCCAATACCAGCAAAAGATTAAGTCAAGAGGATTACAAGTGTAAGAAATTAAGACAGTCTTTTCTCATTCTTTAAGTTACACCAAATGGCAGCACGTTTACTACGATGCACTACAAATACCCGAGGACCAGGCGTCATCTCTTCACAGAGCTGGACGCAGGGCCCTCCCGGGAGGAGAGCGCAGGGGCCAGCGGCCCTGCTGTGCCCGGAAGGCTCCCTGCGAGCTCTGCCCTGGGATGAGGACACAGAGCCACTGCAGAGCAAGTCGCCCTGTAAATTGGCGACTGACACAGCCTCTCTGCAAACAAAAGTCTCGATTATCTTAAACTAATTCAAATTTCTTTTTATGTTCTTTGTTTATCACGTGACAGAATACTAAGATACGCTATTAACATCAGTACATTTTAATGGCAATGAAACCTCTTAACCTGTTTTTAACGTGTACATTTCCACAGCACTGCCAGTTGATAAAAACAAACATCAAATGAACTTTACAAATCTCAAAATGCTTTCAGAAACAAACACAGTCTTGCCAGAACTATTTATTTTGCATAAACTTAATATTAATAGTAGGTATTTGATTTGACTATTCTGTACACTATTATAAAATAGCTTTAGAAAAAGAGATAATTGCATAATATTGAGCAGTTCTAAAGATAGTGCTCTCTGTTTTTTTCTTTAGAGAGGGGGTCTCTCTGTGTGGCCCAGGCTGGGTTCAAACCATCCTCTCACCTCACCTCTGGTGTAGCTGGGACTACAGGCACCACAGCGCTCAGCTTCCTCTTTGACCTTTAAATAAAAAACTCGGTTCTGTTTTTGGTGCTGATAACCTGAAGCATATTCCCACTAAGAACTAAGTGACCCTGGTGAGCAGAGTATTAAATTAGCATTGCAGACGTCTCACGCTACCAAATCGAAGTGTGAGAGGTGACCAGGAACCAGGGAGCAAGATCTCCGCCCTGGGCCTGCACATCACCCACCTCACAGGCCCTCGGGGCAGGGCCCAGAGTGGGAAGTGGGGAGTTGAAGGGAGAAGAGGCCCCCTACAGAGCAGGGGCCCCAAACGGACCCCTCAGCAGGAGGGAGAAACAGAAACCCAACAGGGAAACTGCACCGTCCTAGCATAGCATCCTCTCAAGAAGGGAAAAACATCCTCTCAAGAAAATTAAAATACTGCCCACAGGAGATAATTTCAGGATAAAATAACAAAGTTACAGGCGCATTAGTATACTTCATTATGAGAAAGTCTTCAAAGTACTAGAATAAAGTTCATAAATATGTAACAGCATATTATTTTTAGAAAAACATTAGGCACTAAATTATAACAGTTCTTCATCTATCACTTACATATTCTGTTTACATTATAACTATTATGCTTTTGTAAGTAGAGAAATGTAAATTTTGAGATTATAAATTACTATAAATCAAATATTTTCTAAATGACCTACAAAACATCAACTTTTTTGCTTCAGAAGAACTATGCTCTCTGTAATAAACCTTAGTATTTTACCTAATTGTTCTTACTAAAGGTTTTGTTCTAAAATTTAAGCATTATATTTAGTTGTGAAGCATGGTACATCATATACACTCATCCAAAATAAGATGATCCCCATTAACAAAAAATGAAAGAATTTCACTTCTGAGATGTGATCTAAATAAAACATATGTAAGAAGAAAAGCTAAAGAAACAAATGAGTTAAGTTTTAAAAGGAGAGAAAATCACGTGACTTGGCCTTGGGTCTCATGCGGTGCTGTGACCACGCTTCCTGCACACGGTCTGAGCCCTTGGCGTTGGACACAGCACACAACACACCGCCAGCCGTTTGACATACAGAGTCTATTCTACAGTCTATTACCTTGTGATCCAGGGAATTCTCCTGTATCTTACCCTAGTCCACCAAGGCAGTACCGCCAGGAGTCTGCAAGAGTCACAGCAACAGTGGGCTTGGGGCACCTCCAGTGCTGATTCCGCTGCAGTGCCCAGAGACTTAGATCACAACACTCAAGTCCTTTTGAATACCTGGAAAGCCTTCTTAAGAAGGACAGCTTCAAACAAGCCCAGACTATGAAGATCAAAATAAATGCCTAACTCTTCAATGCTCAGACACTGGCGACATCCACAATCAATAGCATCCAGGAAGATGTGGCCTCACCAAAAGCACTAAGTGAGGTACCAGTGACCGACCCTGGAGTGATGGAGACATGTGACCTTCCAGACAAAGAATTCAAATAGCCATCCTAAAGGAGCTCAGTGAACTTCATGACAACACAGAGAATGCATTCAGAAACCTCCCAGAGAAATTTAACAAATGCATTGAAATAATAATTTTTTTAAAAAAAGCAGAAGTCCTGTAGCTTAAGAATTCAATTGACAAACTGAGAAATGTATCAGAGTCTCTCAACAGCACAATTGATCAAGCATAAGAAAGGATTAGTGAGCTTGAAGACAGGCTATTTGAAAATACATAGTCAAAAGAGAAAAAATAAGAAAGAATAAAAAACAATGAAGTACATCTACAAGATCTAAAAGCTAGTCTCAAAAGGGCAAATCTAAGACTTATTGGCCTTAAAGAGGAGGTAGAGAGAGAGAGAGATTGGGGTAGAAAGTTTATTCAAATAATACCACAGAACTTTCAGGTACAAGAAGGTCGTAGAACACCAAGCAGATTTAACCCAAATAAGGCTACCTCAAGACATTTAATAATCAAACTACCAAAGGTCACGGATAAAGAAAAGGTAATAAGGGAAGCAAGAAAAAAGAAAAAAATAACATATAAGGGAGCTCCAATACCTCTGGCAGCAGACTTCTCAGTGGAAACCTTACAGCCATGAGAGAGTGGCATGATATATTCAAAGTGCTGAAAGAAAAAAACCTGAACCCCAGAATATTCTATCCTGCAAAAATATCATTCAAACATGAAGGAGAAATAAAGACTTCCCCAGACAAACAAAAGCTGAGGAAATTCATCAACATCAGACCTGTCCTATAAGAAATTCTGAAAGGAGTTCTTCAATCTGAAAGAAAAGGATGTTAATGAACAATACAAAATTATCTGAAGGTATAAAACTCACTGGTAACAGGAAGGATACAGATACAGAATACTCTATTGCTATAATTGTGGAAGATAAACCACATGCCCCAGACTCCCCATTTTCCCCCAGACCCTGCCCAGGTCACCCCAGGAATAGACAGAGCCAAAGCAGAGGAGGCTGGAGCGTCACGGGACAGGCATCTGCAGCCAGGGACCCATCTGACCATTCCCTCCCCAACTGCTGGGAGAATCTCTGGGAAAGACCCCTTGCCTCTCTGCAGAGAGCCCACCCAGCCCAGAGCACGTCACCTTTGAGGACAGCACAGCCTTTGCATGCTCCCCACCCAAGGACGGCCAAGGCCCTTAGCCTGCAGAGTGCTCCTCAACTGGCACTGCCTCCTCCCTTGCCCCCAATCCCTGGCACTCCTCTCCCTCTGCCCCCATCCTGGGAACCCCTCCTCCTCTGCCACCCATCCCAGGGGCCCCTCCTCTCCTGCCCCCATCCCAGGAACCCCTCTTCCCATGACACCCCATCTTGGGCACCCCTCCTCCAATGACATCCCCATCCCGGGCATCCCTCCTCCCATGACACCCCTATCCTGGGCATCCCTCCTCCCATGACATCCCCATCCCCGGCATTCCTCCTCCCATGACACCCCCATCCCAGGCATCCCTCCTCCCATGACACCCCCATCCCAGGCATCCCTCCTCCCATGACACCCCCATCCCGGGCAACCCTCCTCCCATGACACCCCTATCCTGGGCATCCCTCCTCCTATGACACCCCCATCCCGGGCATCCCTCCTCCCATGACACCCCCATCCCGGGCATCCCTCCTCCCATGACACCCCCATCCCAGGCATCCCTCCTCCCATGACACCCCCATCCTGGGCATCCCTCCTCCCATGACACCCCCATCCCGGGCATCCCTCCTCCCATGACATCCCCATCCCGGGCACCCCTCCTCCTATGGCCCCCTACACCTGCCCACCTCACACCCATCCAATCTCCTCTGGTCCTTCTGCACCCTGACCTTCCCACAGGGGCCCCAGTGTGCTGCTCCAGCCACGGGGAAGCTCTGCTTGGCCTCGTACTCTCAGAGCAGAGACCCCACCCCACTCCCTGCAGGGCCCCCCTAAGTTCTGGGAAAGGCAAACCCTGCATGCTGCCATCGCCGTCAGAGCAGGCTGTGAACAGCATCAACGCCCATCTCTCCACTCGCATGTGAGCTCCGTCAGAGGGCAGGAATCTGTGTGCTCCGCTTAAAACTGCACCTAGAACAGTGCCTGGCACCTAAGAAAGGGCTGGACGACTGGCCGAGCGCCTGGACCTGTGCGTGAGGTGACGTGACACGAAGCACAGGAGCCTCATCTGAGACAGTGGCTGAGATACAAAATGAAGAAATCACGACAGCAAAGAAGATGAGTTCATAGGACTTAGTGACCAACACACGTAGGTGATGAGAAAGGAAAGAGGGAGTGGGGATGACCCTGAGACTCCCAGTCTGCCCGGGAGTGGACAAAATGCTCCATGCCCAGACAGGGTGGAGGAAGAGACACAGGCCGAAAGAGGAAAGGGGATATGAAGAGAAGTACTGAGGTGACTTCCTCCAAGTTTGAACTCCAGCAAGTAACTGAAACTCCGGGCCTCCAAAAATGAGGACAAAAATAGACCTTCTGTCTGTCACTCAGGAGAGAAGTCTGTCCTTGTGGCATCATCCGCGCCTGAGCAGCGCGTGGGGAGCCGCCCACGGAGAGTCCTGGGGGAGGGCGGGAAGAAAGCCCGCTACGGGGTGTGGCTGGGCAAGAGAGGGAGACAGCGAGCGAGAGAGGGACAGAACTAAGTGGCCAGAAGACCAGGCCCCCCGAGCCTCAGAAGCCGAGGGAGGGGTCCAGGCGGGACACACTGCGTGACCAGGCTGTCCTGACATGAGGGGAGACGGCGCTCACCAGCCCTCTCGCGCCCCAGGTCACTCGGGTGCACGGCCGGTTCCAGCCACACCGTGAGTGGAGAAAAGCAAATGAGACCCCGGAGGAGGAGGAGGTGTTCAGAGCAGGACTTCACAGTGTGGTGGGGAGGGACCCAGAGGCCAGGACGCTAACCACGAGGGGCCAGGCCAGGGCCCGGAGGGCGGGATTCCTGCTAGAGCAGAGGGACCCTTCCCCGAAGGCGAGGAACACACAGGGAGGCATCTACGAAGCAGAATTTCACATTTTAAATTAGGTCCAGTAAGAGATTTGACAAGACTGATTAAGAATTTAAGTTGGTCACTGAAGGGGAAAAAGCATTATAATTATCAATGAGTCTTGTAATGAAATAAATGGAACACAATGAAGTCTACCATCTTCGAATGCCAGTTAATTTTAAGATTATTTCTTTGAAAAAAGCAATATGCATATTTCTTTGGCTGCTGCTTAGAACAAACCAATGAAAGATATTTTTTAGATAATCAGGAATAATTTATTTTGGCCTGGCTAATACAAGATACCAAACAGTCACTCTTACTTTTGACATGATGTCACCGTGGCCAGGCAAGAATGCGGAGTTTTAGAAACACACACTGAAGTGCACTGGAGTAAAATAACATGGTATTGGGATTCGCTTTAAAATCCTTCTGCAGACAAAAAGAGAAAAACTCATTCTGACAGTAAATCACCAGAGGGTCCACTAGGTGCCACCACTGTCCTAGTCACCAGAGTCAGCATCCGTGTCTACACACAGGAACTGTGCCCTATTCAGGAAAAGAGACATCTGGCACCTTCCCTCCCACAGACAACACATAATGAATGTGTGAAAGAGAAGGAGCTATGGAGGGAGAAGTGAGGAATTTACATTCTCACAGATGAGTTCACAGAGCTACACGGCAACGCTGACCGTCACGAGAACCACTGACTCTTGTGTTTCATGTGTCAGAGCGCATCATACTAACCAGGTCGTTTTTGACTGGCAGGTTTAGTGCTTTTTTTCTCATCAGTTCCAAAATGCAGTGGAGAGGTTGCTAGCACACAAGAGCTAAAATAAAAATAAAACCATACTATGAGAGCAAACAATTACATGATGAAATTATTTCAATGAAACATACAGTTTAAGGACAGTCATAAATGATTGACACAGATATATACACACAATACTTGGAAATGAAAACTATCAAGCTAATTCTTGTATAAAAATAACATATTTTTAATAAAAGTGCTGTTTTATAATTTACATTCTATCCTGAAATAAAATAATGTTTCATGTTAAAATAAATGTTTTAGTTTTATTTAGTTTTAAACAAGATGGAAACCACGGCATGAAAAATAGTTTCTTTCAAACAAGGTTAGTATATTTGGGAGTTTACTAAACTTTACTTTTCATTGTTAACATAAAAAGGAATCTGAAATGCTGTTAAACTCTCTCTCTCTCTCTCTCTCTCTCTCTCTCTCTCTGTCACACACACACACACACACACACACAAACACACACACACGGCCCACGTGGACTCTACCTGGCCAGCACCGAGAGACGCTGCCCCGCACCAGGGCTCCGCTGAGACTCGAGCAGCACGGCCAGGTTGATTTCCAGCATGGCGATCTTCTTCCCAAACATGGACGTGAGCAGGCAAAGCGCCTACAGGGGCAGGGCCTGGACATCATTAACAGTGTCGCTGGGTAAAGAGGAGATCACAAAAGTGCGTCTGAAGTGCTAATCATTAAACCTGCTGCTTTTACACTAACGGTTTTATCATTTAACTGGTGTTAGTAGTTACATCAAACTGGGTAACTCATAAAAATCTCACATATAAAAACTCAGTTACTGAATAAGATATTATCATACCGTGCTGCAGAAAGTAGGCATAAATCAAAAGCATAGATGCACGTTTCACACAACACGAATGTGGAAAACAGTTCACGACTAACCTTGTGACTGGTGGTTTCGCTCATCACGGCACAGGATCCAGCAACGTGGATGCTGAGGCTCCCAAAGTCTGCACGGTCAGTAGAGATAAAGAAACAGTGTTGAAGGGGCACACAAAGGGAACCGTGAACTCACTGAGCCACTCACTGCACCTACGTGAGTGCCCAGGACCCCCCGGGCACAGTGCTGGCCGCTGGGGACATAGTGTGGGATGAGGCTCAGTCCACCGAGCCCTGGAGCTGCAACGCAGACATGCCATTAGAGCCATGGTAATGCCGGGAATCAGGCACGGAGTCTGCAAGGGGAGCCACCCCTGGAGCAAGCCAGTGATAGGTGAGTGTCAAGGAGCAGTGGGAGTGGCCGCTGAAGGCCCAGTACAGGGGGACAAAAGGAGAGCAACTTCCCAGGAGGTGAGGGGGCAGGGGCCGAGCTGAGGAATTCCTGCTGCATCCTAGAAGCAACAGAAGCCGCAGAGAGATGGATGAAAGCACGGAGTGCCGGGATCCAATCTGCATGTAGGAGCAGCGAGGGGGACTGGATTGCAGAGGGAAGGAGAGAAAGGTGCCCCAACGGTTCCCATGTTGCTGGTGGTGACGGAAACTGTGGGAGGGAGGCAGGGTGGACAGAGGCCTCAATCTGAGCCATGAGTTTCCAGGTGCACGGTGTCAGGCGCTGCAGGAGTTAGTGTTGCCAGAAGCCTCACTGGGGGCCTCACAGGTAACTGGTGAGTTCCCCAAAGGCCAGGGAAGGGCAGAAGTGACAGAGGGCACTGAGGACCTCAACGTCTACATTGCTAATGATTAAAGTCACCGTATCCTCAAATTCAAATCACGAGGCTTTTTCTACATTTATCAATCAAAGGAGACTGTTACAGTTACCCAAAATTTGTATCAAAGAGTACTTAAACTTATACTCTTACCCTTGTAATATAAAACAGCTTCCAATTCAAAGCTTGCCAAGTTGAATACGAATAAACCAGCTGAGCTTCCAATCCACAAGCAGTTGGTAGAAGACAGACTAATTTTAAAAGAAAAGGAAAAAAAAAACTACTCTTATTCCTTCCAGCTCCTTCCACAGTGCTTCACTTAACATTGCTGCGAATTCTCTGCATGAGAGCTGGCAAGTGCGTGCATTTGTGGGTGACTCAAAGGCGTCTCAGTACTAGGGCAGTCGGCTGCTCCTTAAAATTGCATTTTGGCTGGGCTGGTGTTAAAACCTGCACTGGGGCCGGGCGCTGTGGCTCACGCCTGTAATCCTAGCTCTTGGGAGGCCGAGGCGGGCGGATTGCTCAAGGTCAGGAGTTCGAAACCAGCCTGAGCAAGAGCGAGACCCCGTCTCTACTATAAATAGAAAGAAATTAATTGGCCAACTGATATATATATATAAAAAAAAATTAGCCGGGCATGGTGGCGCATGCCTGTAGTCCCAGCTACTCGGGAGGCTGAGGCAGAAGGATCACTCGAGCCCAGGAGTTTGAGGTTGCTGTGAGCTAGGCTGACGCCACGGCACTCACTCTAGCCTGGGCAACAAAGCGAGACTCTGTCTCAAAAAAAAAAAAAAAAAAAAAAAAAAAACCTGCACTGGGTTTCCCAGGCATCCACTCCCGTCTACTGAAGACAGGTAACTCAGCTCTGACCCACGTGGTTGGTGTTCTCTTCAGAGGTCACAGCGGAGGCTGGTGCCTGCGTCCTTACAGGCACAGCTCAGGTGAGTGCCCGCGTGCCGGCTGCGACACCAGCGCGGCCACTGCAGCTGGAGCTGAGGCCAGCTGCCTGCGTTTGTAGACCAGGGAACAGCTCTCGGCCCCAGCAGCAGAGTTAATGAGGTGCAAACACAGGTCTGGCTGTTGTTCTTGATAAACAAATGAATAAGGCTCATTCTGGCTGCTAGACATGGACTCAGAGAAGGCCCTCCCAGCCAGAATTTTCTCTCTGGTCCCTTCCCTCTCTGGCCCCCACCTCCAGCCTGAGTCAGCTGGAGCCACACCCGGGGCTGGTTCTGGGCATCTACTGGCAGAGTCCACGCTGGCCCCAGTCACTGCAAAAATTATGGACCGTGTGGCTCTCTGCTTACCCTCCGATGGCTCCCAGTGCTCTAGGGGGATGTGGAGGGACTGATGTGCCCAGGTCACCTGACCAGCCAAGCTCTGCTCCTGCATCTGCCCCCTCCCCATGGCTAGCGCCCAGCAGGGAATTCTCGCCGGGCCAAGGCCACTCTGGACAAGGCTGCCCCAGCGCACCTGTCACCCACATCTGAGAAGGCAAAAGGCCCCTCTTAGGTAAACTCACACTCCAGGGCTTCCAAAGATTTGTGGGCGGGAGATGAATAGTCACAGTTAAACAGCACTTCCTTATGTTGCCAAATAGTTACTATGTTTCTACTGAGCACAGAAATAAATAAAATCCATTTGGAGTTCATTCTAAACATGTGACACGTGGCCCACACGGGAAAGGGACATTCAGGACTGTGATCTCGTTGCCCTTGCTGAGGAAGTCCCGCGGCATAGGTGCAGATCCACCGGGATTCTGGTAAGCAAAACTAAAAACAATCTAATTCCTTTGATTAAAGATACTTAAATATAATTGACCAGGTTTACCAAGCTTAAGACTTAAAATGTAGGACCCTAAAAACACATACAGTTAGTAATAAAGAGACAAAGATAATTTGGTTTTATTTTAATCATTCTTAAAAAGTAAACCTAATGTTCACTTTGTTCCTAATGTTCCTTCTTAAGGAGTTAAGAAGTGCTCTTTATCTAGCTTTTGCCCAGTTCCCCACACTCACAATTCACACTCGGGGTCCAGGATAAGAGAAAGGTCGCAGGGTGCAAGCGTCAGCACAGGAAACGCGGCGTCAGCTCTTTCCTGCTCCGGGCCATGTGTAGAGGGCAGAGGACTCTCATCTATGGAACCAAATTACCAACAATCTGAGAAGTGACATTAAATCTGTCAATGCAGTTCGAAGGCTCCTGGCTGGCATGCTGAGATGCAGTAAATACGTGTTGCTTAAACAAACCACAGGTCAAGGAAAGCCCCGGAAACACACCCTGTGTGACGGACGTGGTTTATCAGACGCGGAATCTCAGCACCAAACCCAACACAGTGTAGAGAGAGGAGACCATAGACTCAAAGCACCAACCCCACAGTTCCTGAAATGGGTCCAGGATTCGCCTTAGTAACAAGTATTTATAAAAGAAATAATGAAAAACAAGGCCTAAAGCATGAGGGAAAAATATGTATATTGAGTAAAGGTAATTTCAGACCTAATATAAAAAGAAACAGTTGAAAATCATACACAAAATAACAAAAACTAAAACTAATAATCACAACATAGGGATAAATTAGTGTGGCTGCAACGACACCCTGGCTAACACAAAAAATTCAATAAGGAGGAGAGTCAGTAACTGAATTAAACAATAAAACCAACAAGCTCCTTGTGTGTCAGTAACAGAGATAAACAGGCATCTGGCCAGGGCTGGAATGTAGATCTGTAGAAGCACCTCTGGGCGGCAGGAGAGACTAGGCAGGGCTGGCGGGAGCCCGCAGGGCCGTGGGGCAGGTGGGGTCTGTGCTGCGTGGTGCCCAGTGTGCTCAGTGTGGACGGCCCCCAGAAGGCAGGAGGGCCTGCGAATCCTGGACCCCAGTACAACCACGGAGGTAGCTGATGCGCAGGGGCAGGTCCTCTCCCCAAGTACTGAAGCCCTGACACATACCGAAGGCCTTCCTCGGTGCTAGTCTGCCTCCTCCCTCTTGCTTGTAGCCCTCCAGAGCCTTCCTAACTGTCTGAGGTCATGACCCTGGGCTCTTCTCAAATAGGGAATTTTCTCCTCCACCCTCTCCCTCCACTCTGCCCAGATGCCCACAGTGTCCAGTGTCCCATGAATGCTGAGGGTCAGGTGACATACCTGGCTGGTGACACAGCCCAGCCCTCACCCTCCTAGCGGAGAAGCTCGCTCTCCTCTTCCTCAGGTCCACGCAGGCCACACGGCGGTAGTGGTGTCTCTCAGCCAAACTGAAGACCCAAAGCTAGGGAAGTGAACACAGGCAGTCATGGCTTCTGGCTCACGATGAGACAGTGAAACCCAATGAGAAAGATGAGCTGAGATGAGGGATGGGTCACTCTCAGTCCTGTAGAGACTCTACTCACAGTTCTTTGCTGCTCTTTACCACCCATGCTTGGACCCTTCCCTTTTGCCGACACTCTCGGCCAGAGGAGAATTCTGGAGCCTGGGCAAGCAGAACGTAAGCCACACGCCTCCCACAGGCTCCCTGCCCCAGGGACCTCCCACAGCCCAGTCTTCCCAAAGCCATGAACACACCTGACATACCACTGGGTGACAAGACACAACTTTGTCAAAAAATAAGTGATCTTAATTTCCAAAAATATAACTTTTTCTAAGTACATCAATAGCAACTTTATCCAGGTTTTGTGAAGTAAACTCAAAATGCCCACCCAAAAAAAAGCCTTTAGAAAAAGACTAATTTAAGTATCTTTAAGTTTTTCGAAAACGTATAAAGCCAACACTAGTGCTGATGTGAGTGGCACTCAGCCCGGGCTGCCCGTGAGGATCACGCCCGGAGCTGTGGGGAGGAAGGTGGCAGCTCCTCTGCACACGGGGGCCCTGGACTGTGTTAAAAGCCCCACAGCCATGCTGACACACAAAAGGTAACAGCAGCAGCACTGAGGTGAGCTGCTTTCTTGAAGTCACAAGAAAATACAAAGTAATATGAAATCAAAGACCCTTTGTGCTCATGTTCACTTATACTAACGTTTGCAAACTGGAATTGAACGGTGGCTCCCTTACCTGGCCGTCAGCACAGCCGGTCACAAGTTGCCTACTCTCTGTGTCGATGAATAAACTGAGAAGAGGATATGCTGTCAAAAGGAACATGAGAATATTTATCTTGTAAGATGAGAGTTAGAATTTGTTTCATGGTATTTATTTTAGGGAACTTTGTACTTTTCCAAAATAATTTCTTTATCAAAAAGTAAAAACTGTAAGAGAATACAAATCTTGAAAACTACAAAGGGATGATGGAAGCCAGGAATGTAATGTCAAAAAGAAAACCCTAAAAAAAAAAAAAAAGAAAGAAAACCCTAGTGGCTGGCAGGGACTCCTGACATAACTTCCCACCTGACTCACAGAAAGCCTGGTGTGTTCACACCACACCCCAGCACTGTCACCTCCAGAAGCTCTACAACCTGGTACATGACACTGGGGACACTGTTCATACCACACCCTGCACCGTCACCTCCAGCAGCTCTACAACCTCGGACACGACACTGGGGACAGTGTTCATACCACACCCTGCACCGTCACCTCCAGCAGCTCTACAACCTGGGACAAGACATTGGGGACACTGTTCATACCACACCCTGCACCGTCACCTCCAGCAGCTCTACAACCTGGGACACGACACTGGAGACACTATTCACACCACACCCTGCACCGTCACCTCCAGCAGCTCTACAACCTGGGACACGACACTGGGGACACTGTTCACACCCCACCCCTGCACTGTCACCTCCAGCAGCTCTACAACCTGGGACAAGACATTGGGGACACTGTTCATACCACACCCTGCACCGTCACCTCCAGAAGCTCTACAACCTGGGACACGACATTGGGGACAGTGTTCACACCACACCCTGCACTGTCACCTCCAGCAGCTCTACAACCTGGGACACGACATTGGGGACACTGTTCACACCACACCCTGCACCGTCACCTCCAGCAGCTCTACAACCTGGGACACGACACTGGGGACACTGTTCATACCACACCCTGCACCATCACCTCCAGAAGCTCTACAACCTGGGACACGACACTGGGGACACTGTTCATACCACACCCCTGCACTACCGTCACCTCCAGAAGCTCTACAACCTGGGACACGACACTGGGGACACTGTTCACACCCCACCCTGCACCGTCACCTCCAGCAGCTCTACAACCTGGGACATGACACTGGGGACACTGTTCACACCACACCCTGCACCGTCACCTCCAGCAGCTCTACAACCTGGGACATGACACTGGGGACAGTGTTCACACCCCACCCCTGCACTATCACCTCCAGCAGCTCTACAACTGGGGACACGACACTGGGGACACTGTTCACACCACACCCTGCACCGTCACCTCCAGCAGCTCTACAACGTGGGACACGACACTGGAGACAGGTTCGCACCACACCCTGCACCGTCACCTCCAGCAACTCTACAACCTGGGACACGACACTGGGAACAAGTTCACACCACACCCTGCACCGTCACCTCCAGCAGCTCTACAGCCTGGGACACGACACTGGGAACAAGTTCACACCACACCCTGCACCGTCACCTCCAGCAGCTCTACAACCTGGGACATGACAATAGCAATATAGTGACTCCTGAGCCAGCCAGAAATAATAATATTATGGACTTAGTGATGAAAACAACAACTAAATGGATGTCTTGTTTTCTAAATATTTGTTGCCTAGAATGTCATTTCATTTAAAACTTTCTCTAAACTGTCAAGAATTTGGAAAGATAAATGGATATCAAAAAATAATCTTTTAAATAAACCAAAGATCAAGTGTACAGTTGTTCTTGATAGTCAAATAATAATCCCACATAATTTGTTTCAGAAAAATATTTTCAACATCCTTCCAAGAAAGTGCTTTATCCCTGAGATAAAGCAATATATTCAAGTTGCTAAAATACCAGTCCACACAGAGATAAATTAACTCAGAAAGAATGTTAAGTCTTTGAGAAAATATAATAATCACTTTACCAGGTCACTGAGGTGTCTGTGTAATCTTTGAGGGACATTTTCATGTTCCTCATCTTAAGAAAGAACTATCTTATTCTAATTTCCTCTTGTCCTAGGAAATGAGAATGTGCACACAAGAGGAGCAAAATAAATGCCAGGAAACCTGTCCCATGATTGTGAGGGAGACAGATAGGAGTGGCAGGCAAGATATGCTCAGGGGTGTCACTAGTGGCAACCCCTCTGCTCCAAGGCCAGCACCAAAGAAATCTCCTAACACTGCTTAACGTATCGTATGATCCTGCATCTGTGTTCATGGACACTGCTGAGAGGGACCGTCTGTGCTAGATGCACCTGCGCTGCACAGCTCCACCTCAGGGAACAGCAACTGCACACCAGCGGCATGTGGTGATGCGAATGCGAACAGTGTTTAAATTTACCTGTTAACACGGATGACGTGTATATTAACGATCCTGTACAACAGTCCCAGACCTTTGGACAAACATAAGATTCTTCAGAAGAGTTTTATAAAAATGTTGCCAGTATTGCAAAAGCTCAAGCTTTTGTTAGTTCAAAATAACAATTTCTACCTAATATATATTAATCAATGTAAATGATTATCTAAAACAGAAAATAATACAATAAACATATATGATGAAATTGTAGAACACAATAGAAGATGTCATAATCATTTAGAATAAAACTAACACTTCCAAAATAACCACCTATGGATTTAAAAAAATTGGAAAACACAAAAATAAGACAAGTTAGAAACACTTCCTAGGCATGTATTCAACACTTCCAAGCTAGAAGTGTAAATTAAATGGAGGTGGTCCACACCCTGACCCTCACGGGTGCACTCACGTGGCAGATCTACACCCTGACCCTCACGGGTGCACTCACGTGGCAGATCCACACCCTGACCCTCATGGGTGCACTCACGTGGCAGATCCACACCCTGACCCTCATGGGTGCACTCACGTGACAGATCCACACCCTGACCCTCATGGGTGCACTCACGTGAAGGCAAAGTGCAACACTCAAGTGTCAGATGGATGGGAACTGAACTTGCATTTTAATTTATTTTCTTTTAAAGCCGAATTTAGTTCTGATTGAATCACTAATGGTAGAGACTGGTTCTTCTGCTCTGGGTCCCTGGGAAATACTGTGGATATAAGTTAATGCTGTTGTTCTCCTAGGCCCTTGGATTCAGGTTTGGGAAAGTGGGAGGCCAAAGGCTTGTCCTACAAGATCCAAGCCCAGCTCTTCGGCCCAGTGACCCCAGCCAAACATCACTGCTTCATTTTATACAAAATCAGGACAATAGTCATCTTATAGAATTGTGGCAGAAATAGAACCACTTATGTGGCAGTGACCATAGACCAAAAGCCACTGCATCAATGTGCCCACAGATATTTTTCCAAAGCACCTGTTACATCTAAAAACAGTCTAACGTCCATCCCCTTACCTTAAAGCTTCTGTCCTCAGACACTGAGATGATGGTATTTGCTTGCCAGGGACAGAATCCACGCAGTCACTGGACCCAGGTGGCCCTCCAGCTCCGCCATGACAGATGAATTCTGAGACAATTTGGGAAGGAAGGCAGTCACTGACTTCCTGGTAATTCTTATCATCCAGCAGTTATATGTATAGATAAAGCAGAAAAATAATTTAATTATTCCTGCTCGCAAATTTGAACTATATATATATAACCTGACTTTAAAATAAGATGCCTGGGCTAAAAGGGACTATGCAATCAGCAGAGCCAACTTTGCCACAATGTAAAAGGCGCGACCCTAAGCAAGTAGGAAGCAGTGTACCTCCTCAGGACTTCCTGTCCTTCTCCTGACCGCCACATCTTGCCACGCTGGGTCTGCACTGAGGGCTGCGCGTTCTTCTGCTCGCAGGAATACACTCAGCAGAACGGGTGCTTCAATTCCTTCATTCTCCACCTTTCTCTTCCTTGCGTCCTT